CATTACAGCTTTCAGAAGCAAAGCGGCGGCAGAGTAGGAGCAGATCTCCGGGTTTCCATGAACGTCTTTGGGCGGGATTATGTATTGGGGCACGACGCATTGTCGTAATTCCGGCCTGCCATGGTCTGGCGAGTGCACAGGGTGATCGATGTCTCTTTAGCGGTGGAATTGACGGACCAAGCCATCCCAGTCACGTTCCACACTTATCCTTGAGCGCACCGCCGCCATGGCAGGGTCTCGCAGGTTTGCACTTGGAACGTGGAAGCCTTGGATGACGCAGCGTTGGGATTCGTTGCCCGTGACGGCCCGCACGTTTTGTGTGTGCAGGAGGTGTGACGGCCACTTCCGGCAATTTGCACACCCCTTCACGACGCTGCCTTTGATTTACTTGGCACACCGCATTCCACAGGCAAGGGATATCGTCGCGGATTGGCCACGCTGGTACGGGGATGCCTCCACGAGGAATTCTTCTTTTTTTTTAATTTCCCTCCGGCTTTGCAAAGTCCATGCACTACAGCAGACACAGAGGGATGTGGCGTTAGCATGGGGAGTACGGTATATACCGAGAATTCTTCCACGGCGGCGTGCGTGTCTGCACCTTCTCGTCGAACCGTGGAAGCACGCAAGCACACGTTGACGGTTCTGAATCACCTGGTGACTCACATTGTGAAAGTACCTTTCTGTCTGGCCCACAGCGCCGAGGAGCGCGCACAAGGATGCAGCTTGTCCTTGGCCACTGCGGCGTGCCCAGGAAATAAGCTTGTGATGCATAAGCCGAGGAGGCGTCCGACCTCGCACAGCTCACAGACGCATGGAGCACCGGCATCGTCGCATTGGCCGAAGGTATTATTTGTGCCCGACAGCTCAGGCCAGAAGCTCACCGCTCCACTGCAGCAGGCGACTGGGAACCCACGCGCACGGACACCACTTTCACTCGTGTGGAAGAGGCCGCACTGGTTCGCCTCCGCAGCGGGGTTTCGCACAAATGTGGATGGCTGCTACGGCCACTGCAACCCGCTATCCCAGGCAAATGCCGTTGGTGTGCGGCGCGGATGCCGCACTGGTGTCGTGGCGCACATGTCCAACGTTTGTGGCATTAAGTGCTCCAAGGCGCTGCGGGAATTTAACTTTTCCGGTGAGTCGGAACGGCCAGGAATGTCGCCGGAACCACCACCCACCAGTTGAGCGAGGACGAGAGCGAGAGACGGCACGCCGACCGCACCTCCGCTGCAGACTGCACAGCCCAGGCCGAAGCTGCTTTTATGCTGTTTCCGCAGGGCATCGTACGACCAACAAGCCGGACCCAGACTTCGTCACCGACACTGCCACAAGCACGACTGCTCCGGGTCAAGAAGAAAGCATCCCCGGGAATATGACGATCCTGCTGCATACATCCCGTCCCAATGCACGTCCTGTGGATTCAGGTCCGAAACGAAAGCGAGTCCAGTATCCTACATGCGCGCACACGAACGCTCCAAAACAGAGCAGCAGCCGGCAACAAAGACTACGGCACTCCTTCAATGCCCTTAACTTGGCAAGCAGCCGGGCATTGCCGAGGTGTTGGCCAGCCACACCCGGCACAAGCACCCCGACGGTGAGAATGTCACGACGCCAAAAATGGTGCCACAATGCACGCACTCCGCAAAGCTCGAAACGCAGCAGGAAGAACGCCAACTCTGCAGAGCGACTTTGCCTCCGCAGGAGATTCCCTCCGCCGCGCAGGAGAATGCCGGCGAGGGACGGCGCACCGTGTGCCCAAGGCAGCACGCACACTTCCATTCATCAACGTCCCACCGCTGCCGATTGAATGGCAACAGAGGCGTCATGCTGCCGGGAAGGCGCACGTTGCCCGGCGATGGCATCCCGATGGGATCAACACCGGTTAGATTTCGCCGTCCAGAATGCGGCTTTTAGTCCCGAAACAGTCACGGAATGGGCCGGCATAGCACGGCACACCACGGGCATTGACCGTACATCGTGAAATACAACCAGCATGAAATGTGTGACGAGACACTTCCGCATCTACTCTGCTGCCCGGCTCTGTAGGCGCACAGACAAAAATACGGAGTGGACGCTGGGGAAGTGAGTAATCTGTCCTTCACAAAAAGTTGACGCAGCTTTCTTCTCGAGGGGGAAAGGCTCTGCCGCCCCCCAAGCAGCACTCCCACGCGGCGACGAGGTGGAAGACGACTCGCAGATGCGGCAATCTTTATATGTTATTGGCATTTGTCTTCTCTCTTTTTCTCTTCATTTACGGACTTTTTGAAAATTTGTTACTTGATTTCTTGGCAGTGACGGATTATTTATTTACTCCACTACTCCGAGGGGACGCGTAACGGGTTGTGTTTTACGCCGTCTCCTGCAGCGCCATCTCCGGGGGTTGGGGTTCTCTTCCGCATCTTCAATTAGCATGGTGGACGTGCTCTACGATGGTGGCCGGCGTGCGGGTCTTTGAGGTTATTTAGGAAAAAAAACGAAGAAATGCAAGAAGCAATTAATAATGAATATACAAATACCAAAATTGGCGAATATAAATAAATAAATATCGATACCCATTTGTTTATCTAGGGATGTACATGTTTGTAATTAATAAAGCAACAAATCAATAAATCGATGAACGAAAAAAATTTGTCAATGAGGAAAAAAAGGATAGAGGGGTATATTCATATCTAAATAGATATCTATATATTTTAATTATATAGAATGTTTCTATACTTATATCTATATCGATACATATATATATATATATATGTACATCAATTGATGTTTATTTTTATATTTATGATTATATATATTTTACATTTTTTATTTGTGGCATTCTAGTTTAGTTGTGTCATGTATTTTTTTTTCGTGGATCTACACCTACGTTTTTAGGGCGTATAGGCACTGAGTTTCGCATCCAGGGTTGCGTACGCACTGAAGCACCCAGTAGGACAAAAGTAGCAAGGGGTTTGCGAAGCCCATCGCAATTGAACGTTGATTGCTATCTTCTTTGATCTCCTGAGGAGCCGCAACGTGTGATTGCGTTGCCTCTGACACCCAACACAATGATAACTTTCAACAAGAAGTTTGCAGGTTTATTGTGCAGTTATTGTTGAGGTGTACTCCACACCCGCATTTTGGGAGTGAATGCACGGTGTACCCGCAGAGGATGCTGAGGGCGGCGTCAGCGAGGCATGGGACAACATGTACTCCGGAACAGTTGTCTGACGTTGGCCAGAAGAGACATTTTGCCGAAGGCATTACTGATTGATGGCCGGTGATTTTGTGCTTCGGTATTCGGAACCTTAAGGAATGGAACGGCGCTGGCTGACCATGTGCCACTCGCTATCTATTCTGTCCTTGATGTGGCTTAAGAGACGGTGCGGTCGCATGCAGAGGTGTGAAAGGAAGTAGGACATTGTGTGGACATGCACGTGGACTTGTCAGAGCGTCACAATATCCCTCAACAAGTGTGGAGCCCCCGAATTGATGATTCGACCGTCCTGATAAAACTGCCCGGGGTGGAGGTGAGTGTGCTGACTTCCGTTTCTCCGGATTTTCCTTCATCTGGCAGGCTGCGCGGCTGACGTGGAGGGACATCATGCGCACCTGTTTCCGGCGTGTGCGATGACGTTTCCCACATATGAGGACGATTTCCCCGATGATGCGCTCCGTGATCCTCAATTGTTTTATTTGACGACACGACGCAACGCGGGGTTGGTGCTGAGCGACGAAGGCCTTCCGTCTCGGTTGGAACCAAAACGGAGAGCCCATGAAGAGGCATGCTGCTCGCGACTGGTTGATGCTTGTCCTGTGAGGAGTCCGTTTACTACCGTGGAGCGCCTCATTCGCTTGATTGCAGAGCCCTCTACACATTGCACAGGCCTCGTGCTCCTGAGTAATGCCGATAGGGGTGGATTGCATGATGGTGTTTCATTGCTGGAAGGCTCTGTGAGGAGGAAAAATATTATTTATTCTTTCTTCTTCCTGGACGAGACGAATCTATCCTTTGATTGAAGTACGAGTGCCTTGTTGCAGTTCTTGTTGGCCGCTGGTGGCTTTGGTGTTTGTTCCAATCAATGGCTCTCACTGGCGATTCCACGGCCTAATATCGACTGGTGCCGTCGTTCTTGGTCCCACGTTGCTTGGCCCATCAATTGTTTGTGCAACTGGACAAAGAATTTCCCTGTGGGCATGGACCATTTTTCACGGAATATGACCACAACAGCTGCTGAGCGGGCTGGTGTTTGTTGCGTCCTGCACGAATATGTTATTGCGGATTTCATTCTGTTGCGTGTAAGTGATGTTACATCTGTGTTTCTCCGTGTGGCAGAGGCCTGAGCCAACGGAGGATAGAGTGTTGTGATGAAACACAGCAGAGTCAACAATTGTGTTGCTCATCGTTATGCTCGTTCTCACTGCGGTCCTCGACGTGGGGAAAATTTTATTATTTTGTGCGGTATGGAGAGCACTTATCCGGCGGCATATCGCCGTGTGGTGGTGTCTGGCTCAAAGGACCCTGTGGAATACTTTGTGAGGGCGAAGGATGATGGCAGGACTGTCGTGCCCACACAGACGGAGACGAGAACAGGCTGGTTTATGTGCCCTGTAAGATTGCGCTCGATTGCGTCATTGGATACATGCAGAGCAGGTGGCTCTCCGGTGTTTGTTGGTTTCACGGCCAACCCGCTGGCTTATTGTGAAGGGCATTCAAGAGCATTCGTTCTCTGAGGGTGTTCCTTCTGTGTTGTCCGCACAATGTAGTGCCCGCTCCATTGGGCCTTTTTTTTGATGGGAGGATGTTCTGTTGCACTTCTTGGACCTTTGTGGAGGGGGAGGGTCATGGGGCAACATGCCCACCGCTTCGGTGTTGGTGCACCGCGTACTTGTGGCCGCGTTACGCAGGAGGCACAATCTTCCGTTGCAGGATGAAAGCGACGTGTTCTTGTCCTTTCACAGCAATGCGCGGTCTTCTTGTTATTTATTTTTAGGCGTTTCTGCAGGACAACGAGTTTTAAATGGCTACGAGGGATGCGTGGCTGCAGGGTTTGAGCGCCGTTGGTTTTTTTCTGACGGGCGGTGTTGAGGAATTACAGGCGCTTGCAGATGCCATCGCCGGTGTGAGGGCAGGTGTTTCAGCCACCCGAAGCGTGGCTGTTGGGAAGACGTGTTTTACTCTTGCGGTGGAGGCATCAACAATGCAATCGGCTGGACCTGCACCATCATCAACAGCAGGTGAAGGAGGCCCACTACCAGATCAAGAACACTTACATAGCGTCACCAAAACAAAGAACGAAAACACACCGTCAAGATCAAAAACGGACTCAGAAGCAACGGAACCACCTCCAATGGATTCTAAAAAAGGCCAGCACAGTCATGACACAGACACGGAGGATTCGACAAAGAATGCAGCAACCAGCAGACCAGCAGAAACAACAACAATCTCATCTACCTCTGCAAGTGGCAGCGGTGATCATGTCCAGAATAAGGCAGATGAGGATGATGCTCAAAGCTCCGAAGAACAACACGACGGCCTTGGAATTGGCAAAACCAACGCTGTTTCAACTCTCAGTGAGACAGCACCACAAACAGAAAAAACAACCACCGCCGCTCAAACAAATCATACGGTGACACCCGTCGACAGTGACGGCAGCACCGCGGCCTCCCACACCACCTCCCCTCCTTTGCTTCTTGTTGTTCCTGTTGTTGCGTGTGCAGCTGCTGCCGCGGTGGTGGCCGCGTGAGAGTGAGTGTAAGAGAGAGCCATGCACCGCCCGCACACACACTCTTCCTTCTCTCTCTGTGTGTGTGTCCCCTTGCATGGACTCTCGCCCTCACCTCACCCCACGAAACACACAATAATGTGCCCATTGTATATATGCATGCACACCCATGCAGGCCCGTTGGTGCTCTCTTTTGCACGACACGCACCGCTGCCGTCCTGCCTGGCTGCATGGACGGAGCACCGTAACTGTTTCTGTTTTGTTTTTATTGCATTGAGTGGGCGACCTCTCTCTCTCTCCCTCTGTGTGTGTGTTTTGCTTTGCGGGAGCAACGAGTGTGTGTGCGCTGGTCGTCCCACGCTTCGGCTTTTTGTTTTGTTTTCCTTTTTGATTTTGTGGTTGAGTGCACCCATTCCGCGGCTGCGTGTGTGTGTGTGTGTGTGTGCGATGATATGAGTAATTTGCGTGTGTGCTATCTGCCTCTCTCTGCCGTTGCTTTCTTCAGACTCTCTTGTGGCGCACAGCTGCTCTGCAAGTATAGGCGCTGCCAAACACACAAGCACAGGCACACACACATGCCGTGTTTTAAACGCTGAGAATGCACGCACGCACAGGATTGTGGCTGCGGAGGCCCTCGCGAGGGGGGAAAAAGCCTGCATTTTGTTTTTTTTTGACATGTTGCGAGCGTGAATGTGGCGGCATGCAGGCAGGTGGGTATTGGGAATGTTGAGGGTGCTTGGGAGAGCTCGGATTGGTTCCCATCCAGCAGCCTCATGTGCCGAAGGTTTTACCATGCTGTTGATCCGTTGATTGGGTTTATGCGGTTGTGCGACGTGGTGTGCGCCGGCGGCGAAGCGGGAGCGTTGGAGAAGACAACGGTAAAACGACTGGTGGAAGCGCGTTGGCGCTGCGAAGGGAGGTTTTGTTCTTTTGCCTCCCGCTGGTTGTTATCGTGTGTGGGCGTTGCTCTCTGTGTGCTGACGCGTGAAGAACGGCTCACCCGCCGTGGCTCCTGCTGGTGATGGCAGTCTCTGTGTGTTTTCCCGGTGCACTGTTCTTTCTTCTCGTTCCGTGTGTCTGTGTGCGTGAGTTGTTGTTGTTGGGAGTGACTGCGGCCCGCCGTGATGCCACTCACTGTGGATGAGTAACGGTGTTCACTGTTGTAATTTTTTTGGCATGATTTTTTCATTTTTAGCTTTTTAAATAAGCTAGGGAAAAAAGCGCGAAACGCTATTGTGAAATTGTAAGGCTCTGAAAGGAACAACAACAGCACACACCACCCACATACACACATATTTATATGCTCTCACGCGTTGCTGCAGTGAAGGTACCCCGCACACACAACCGTCGCCGCATGACCGGATCCAGCGGAAGAAGGAGGGAAGGAAGCGAGAGTGAGCCGCGGAGGCCCCACATGTTCCGGCGTGTGTTTAATTCCGCGGTGCTGCTTCTCCTTGTCGTTATGATGTGCTCCGTCTGTGGAGCTTCGAACGCTGTGACGAGTAATTCGGGGAATGCGCAATTGCCGCAGGGAGTCGATCTATTTTTGCCGCAGATGACGCCGGTGCAGCCGAAGGATGGGATTGTTCCAGTTACGACGAGGCATTCATTTATTTCACCCTCTCTCGTCAGTGCTGGTGGAGTGATTGCTGCTTTTGCCGAAGGTCAAGTGTATACCATTGATGCTGGCAGACAAAAAGAGAAAAATTCTTCTGATATTGTGGTAGGGTACATCGACGCTACGTGGGATTGGTCCACTCTTGTTGGCAAGGTGAATGAAATTACATGGAAGGCAAACACCGTGCTTGGTACAATGGATGGAGCGGATAATCGTGTGGACTTTTTTTACCACCCCACAACCACCACGAAGGGCAATAAGGTGTTTCTTCTTGCGGGAAGCGATTATGAGCACAAACAAACTGTTGGAAATCAGACATATAGCGGATTCAAAACACAACTAGAGCTGGTTGTGGGTGATGTGAGTGATCCTACGAGCAGCGATCCGACTGAAAGTATCAAATGGGGCGAAATTAAGTCTCCGTTAAACGAGAGTACTATAGCTGCTCACAAAGGTAACTTGACAGGGCTTCTTGCCGCTGGTGGCTCAGGTGTTCTGATGGAGGATGGCATGCTTGTGTTTCCTGTGATGGCGAAGAGCGGAAAAGGTGACTTTTACTCCATGATTATTTACTCGAAGGACAACGGCAGTACCTGGGCGCTCTCTGAGGACATTTCCCCTGTGAACTGCACTGACCCCCGCGTCACCGAATGGAAGGGATCACTTCTCATGATTGTTAATTTCAAGTATGGCCAGAGTGTGTACGAGTCGCGTGACATGGGGACAACGTGGACGGCGGCAGCCGGGACGCTTCCAGGCGTGTGGGTCAACGCACGATCAGGAGGCTCTTGGGACGAAAGCTTGCGTGTGGAAGCCCTTATCACCGCGACCATTGGGGGAAGGAAGGTCATGCTGTACACGCAGAGAGGGGACTTCTCGGGGGAGAAAAGTGAAAGAGCGCTCTACCTTTGGGTCACGGACAATAACCGCTCGTTTTATTTTGGACCGGTTGGCATGGACACTACTGTGAAGGAGGAGTTCGCCAGCAGCCTGCTGTACTCGGATGGCAAGTTGCATCTTTTACAACAGAGGGACAATGGTGAAAACAGTGTCATGTCGCTTTCCTGCCTGACGGACGAAGTGAGTACAATCAACTTCGTCCTGAAGACCTGGGCGAAGAAGGACGCCTTCTTCTCCAGCTTGTCTATACCCACGGCGGGTCTGGTGGCAGTTTTGTCCGATGCGGCCAGCGATGACACGTGGATCGACGAGTACCTTTGCCTGAATGCGACGGTGACGCCTAATGCGAAGAAGGTCGAGGATGGGTTTCAGTTGACGGAGCCTGACTCCAGGGTAATATGGTCTGTGAACACTCCGGATGATAATGTGCGTCATGTATCCTTGAGCCACAACTTCACACTTGTAGCGACGGTGACCATCGAAGAGGCTCCGAGTGGGAACACCCCTCTACTGACTGCGACGTTGGCGGACAATAATTCCAACCATACCATGGGACTGTCGTATACCGCGAATAAGACGTGGGAGACGGGGCTCAAAGGCGAGACAAAACCAACAACGGAAAGCAGGCCTTGGGAGCCGAAGAAAGAACATCAAGTGGCACTTATGCTGCAAGGCAACAAGGCCTCTGTGTACATTGATGGCGAGTTGCTGGGGGAGGAAGAGGCGCCGTTAACAGGTGAGGCGCCACTTGAGCTTGTACGCTTTTGCTTTGGCGCGTATGATCAGAAGGAGGGACACGAACAAGATTCCCATGTGACGGTGAAGAACGTCTTTCTGTACAACCGCCCACTGAATTTCACTGAGATGGCTGCAATCAAGGACAGGAGGCATATCCCTCGGATTGAGGGTGTGCGAGCCAATGCGCCTGCTGGGAGCGGACTGCTGCCGCTTCTTCTTCTGATTGGGCTGTGGGTATTTGCAGCTGCGTGAGGAGCGTGTGGCCTCAGTGTGGAACACTTGCGTTTTCCTCTGCAGCGACACACACACACACCGCTAGGAATAAATTTACTACGCAGAGAATAAATTGTTTTTGCTCTATTTTAATGCTTCCCATTTTCCCCTTGCTGCTTTAGGGCAACCACTATGAACGTTTTTTTTTTTCTGTTCGAAGTATAATTTCTTACGTTTTTTATGTACGTTTTTAATTATTTCTGTTTGCTTTTTCAAAAAAAAATTTTTATTTCTGTTTTTCCTTTTTGCTCCACTCTTCCCTTCTTGTTTGCCTTTTGGGGGCAATCACTGTGGACTTTTTTTCCTTTCTACTCTTCCCCCTTTCAATTGTTTTTTCTGCACTCTTCCTGCGAGGGGTGCCGTGTGTTTCCGCCCAACTGCTCCACTCACACACCCACCGACACGCTCATGACGATGGCCCTGTGCGCCTCGCCTGCTGCACGCATGAGGAGGGGCCGCGACGAACGGCGCGCTGAGGGAGCCGTGACGTGTGGGCGTGCGACGAGGGCCTGTGGGGCGGAGCACACATTTCTTCCCTCTTCTTTTTTGTTTCTTTGCGGCCAGGGCAGGCAGACACCCGCAGCGCCACACACAAAGCCACACCCTGCCGCCGTGTTTTTTTTTTTGCTGCTCTCACTCTCCCGATGGAGTGACGCGACTGCCGTCATGTCTGCGTGCTTCTCTCAGTCCCCACACACACGAGTGACTGTGCTCTGCGGGCCGCACTCACGCACCAATAAAAGGACTGAGGGGAGCAGCAACACGCAGATGACCCCGTGAAATATAAACTATGTGCGGGCACGCAAAGGGTCGGACGGTTGAAGGACATTTAAATATCTTTTAATTTCATTTTAGGACGAAATATACAAACAGATTGGTATGGCCACACGGTAGTTAGGTGCTTTTTTTGTGTATGTTTTTTTTATTGTGTGGGTGTAGCCGTAATAGAGGACGACTTTCTTTCTTTCATTTTTTAAATTTTTTTTTCAAAGTGTGAGGGGTGGAAGGTGAAGATGAATTTTTTAAATTTTAATATTTTCTTATGAATTGCCGCTTTTTGGTCTGCAGTGCAATATCATGAGTTTGAGCAGTCCTGTTATTTCTGCCATGCACTTCTGCTGTACAGTTTTTGTTTGTGCGTCCCTTCACATGCTCTGCTCCTGTTTTTACTTCTCTGCCTCGTGTGTCTGCAGGCACGCACAACCACATGCACGCACAGGATGCACATTGCAGTGGATTTGGATGCTTCTTTTGTGGCGTGTGCTGGCGGTTGCGGGTGGCTGCTGCTTCCTCCGTGGGCGTGAAGGGGAGGAGGGGAGAGGGAGCGCGCACGGCGAGTCACTCTTCCTGCGGGTGTGATGCGCGCGGTGGGCTGCGACTGCTGTGGAGGACCGCATTCCTTTCGGTGTGCGCTTCTCCGCCGTTGTGCTGTGCGCTTGCACATGTCATTTGTTGTGCGTGTGCGTGCTGGACATTTTTTGCCGGAGCGTTGGGCGGCCACCACCATTCTTTTTTGGCTTGTGTGAGTGGGCACGTGCGGATGAGGGTCAGGGCGCATGGAATGAAGGAATGGCGTGAGGAAAGGGGAATTTGATTTGGAGGGTGTTTGGACCGGATTCATTTGGCTGCGGTGGTCACATGCACGACGGATGTGTTTCCGCATAGTGGGGGAGGATGCGACAGGGTTTTCCGAAGTGGCCCGTCAATGCAATTCGGGTTTCATAGCACCGAGGCAGAGTGGTCTTCCTGCAATGGCTGGTGAGGGCCTCAAGTGGACCGGTGTATTTATGCTGCTGCTGCTCGAGGAGGCGTAGAAGTGCGATTTGAGGTGAGCGGCGGAAGGGCCGCACATCCCGCAGTGATGGTCGTCGTTGGCCCACCGGGTGCCTCTGAAGGTTTTGTTGGATGCAACGTCCTTATGCCCGTCTCTGGATGGCGACATCCCTGAAGCCGCCAACGAACGGGGCTGCGAGCGACGGTGAGACGCAAGCACGTGTGGATGTTTGGAGCGGTCGGCGCACCGCACGCTGAGCGCATGGCACGGTGAGGACCGGACCCGGAAAAGGGACACCGCGCGGGACGTCAATCTTCACTGCAGCGACCGCCACCGAATTCGGATTTGCTCGCACCTTCTGCGGTCCCTCCTCCTCACTTCTGTGCCGAGGACTGTGCCGTGGGATCCGGCAGCGCGATGTTTGGCCGCAGGAGCATGGCCCGAACAAATGATTTGTGGGAGGGGATGTGCACTGCTACGAGAAGGAGAAAAATGTTGCTAGACGACCACCACTACCAGACCGGAGTGAAGTTGTGTTTTGTCCACTTGCGCGAGGGCGGCCTGCCACCTGGTCGGTTAGGAGGATTATTTTTTTTTTTGCGTCGTTGCGCTCTCTTTTATTCCGCTGCGTTTTCATGCGGACCTGCGAAGGGAGATTTGCAAGAAGTTCCTGCGAGGCGTCCGTGCCGTCGTCGGAAAAGCGGATTCCCCCTTGAAAAACGCTACTTTATAAATTTATTTTGGGCGGGGAGTTCCTGTCGATTCACTGCGACTTTGTTTTGAGGATTTGATGCGTGTGTTTTCGAGCGGTTCGTTCTGTGTCCCCGGCCCACGCGGATGTGGTGTGCGCGTCGACGTGAGGGTGCCTGCCAGCGATTTATTGCCTCCCCCGCTGTGGCTGCCACCGCTGTCTTCTTCCCTCCCTGAGGTCCTGCGGCTTCTTGACAAGATGCTTTGGAGAAGGCGTTGCCGCTCTTGTCGTCCATGTTATTTTGATTCTGGTGTTGCGGTCAGGAGAAATTGAACGAGAGGGTTTGCTGCCCCCTTGTCTTGTTTGCCCTCTCTGCCTGACGGCCAGTTCTACACAAGCGTGCTCCTCGGCACCTCGGTTGGTGCTGGCGGGTTGCTCATAGTTGTCGCTGGCAATCGCATGCGCCAACTCTTCTCTGCTCCTTTTCAGTGTCGCATTTTTTTTTATTGATTGACGGACGCCATTCTGTCCGGCGTGCAAATTTGATTGGATTGTGTGGGACTGCTCGCCAACGCCATCGGAGAAAGCACACCGACTTTCCGCATATTTAATTCCATCTTGCGCGCAGGTATTTTTTCACATGTTCTGTTGGGCACTCAAACAGCGAGGTGTCCGGAACTGTGCGTGCGTGGGATTATTCCTGTCATGTGAGCTGCGGGCATCACCGAGGGGCAGCCACCTTGACTCCGCAGAGTTGTTGTGTCTCTTTGCGGGGTTGGCAGGGAAATTCCGTGCAGCCTGCTACTGCTGGTGTGTCCTCAAAAGCTGTCACTGCATGCGAATGATGTGGTTCAGCGAGTAAGGATGTTGATTGGGCTTGTGTGCACACTGGTTCTGTTTGCAGCTTTGTGCGGGCACGCAACACTTGAGGGGTGGGAAAATGGAGCGGGGCGATGCATGGCCGCGTCTCGCCCATCGTTCACTGCACGATGGTGTGGTGCACATTGTGGTGTTGACTCTGCGATGTGACTGCGGTCCTCTGCGCGGCAATGGTGGTGTGTGGAGGAGAGTGGTGACCCGCGGCGGGACGGTGGGATCGTGCCTCCTTTTCTCTTTGTTTCTTTCCTTTTGTGAATGTGTGCACTTATTTTTGGTGTCGGTGATGGGGCAAACAGACCGACAAAGTAAATAAAGCAAAATAAAAAAGAACAATAGTGTGGCGGTGTTGGGGTTGGTTGCATGCCTCGCGTTGCTGCGGGGCGGTGGTCCTCGGCTGCTTCACCGACAGGCGTTGCAGTGCGGCTGCATGGCGCACCGATCACCGAGCCGTGCGAGTGCCACGCCCAACGCCATTGGGACTGCGAGACGAGACAGCCGCGACTGTCCTTTGGAGCCAGCGGCACCTGCTGGCCGCAGTTGGGCGGTGCGAGTGGGATGCTTCACCACACGGGTGTTGTGATGGCGCCTCGCCGTGGCTCTTGTGATGGTTCCGACGCTGCGGCTCGACATGTGTTGGGGAGTAAAGTGTGGCCGCAGTGGACCATGAGCAGCACCAACATGAGGCTGAGTGATTTCCTTTGGAATTATGCTGGCGGCAGGGCGGCCGTTGATGAAAGACTACAATGTGACGATGGAGATGTTTGTTCAGGAGCCGGATGATTACGTACACGACCAGCGGCCTCTTGAAGAAATTCTTAACCTAACTGCGCACCAAGCGCTGGGGGCCATTACTAGGCCTCTTCACGAAGATGTGCTCTCTCTCGGGTAACGTAGGGACTATGAAAGAAAAGCATACGATCACTCCTCTTGCAGGGGGAAAACTAAACGCAGCCCTCACGCAGGTACCGACAGAAGCGAGGCGGGAGGCAGCGGAAAGGCTAAGACGAACGCAAGAAATGAAATTTACCACTTCCACTAATATCGATGAGGTACTGTTTAAGGGAAGAGCTCGCGTCAAAGAAATGAGGCTGAACGACTTTCTTACGAGGGAACCGGATGGCAGGGGCATTGTGGACACCAATCGGGATGTCATGCTGGAGGGGTTTCTTAGGGACCCCACGAAGTATATCCGTGATAAAGGAGCACTGAACGAGATACAGGCATCGGGTCATTGTTTGAGTATGAGGCGAGCTGCAAAGGGTGAAATGGTCTTCGACGAGGATATACGCAAGCTATGCGATAAGGGTGTCGACAATCTACCGGGGTGGTCATTGGCTGCTGTGGAGGTAAAAGCAGCTGTTCATAACTCCACCAAACATTTCTTGGATGCGGCTGCCGAGGAGGCGAGGAACCCAACGACGACGAGCGCACCGGAGAAACTGGAGGGAGTGTACGAGTCTGTGCACAATGCGGGGCGGGGCCATGCGGTGGAACTTCCGGACGGCGTGGAGCGAAAGAAAACGGGGACGGGAATGGGGTGCATGAGGGGAAGCCAGGACAGTCATGGTCGTACAGGGAAGCTGACGACGCTATCGAAGAGAATGACGCTGTGCAGCAATGTGGTGCAGCACCTCC